AAAATTTGGCCAGGCGAGCAGCCAGGGCGGCTGCTCGCCGGAAACGGAATTCACGGGTGAATTTGTTTAGCACAGATTTGGCTCTGATACCATGTGAAGAATATTATAAATTGTATTATAATAAACTTGTTTCTATTACAAACTAGAAGACCCTATTTATAGGGTTAGAAATAACTGTAAAAGGAAATAAACATAAAAGGAAATATTACGTAATCTACTACTAAGGAAAGTAAATATTATAATCGCAATCTTTGACGATCTCTGTAATCTTATTCTATATTCTTGACAATAGCCTTCATAAATACATGACACATTCCCTTTCCCAGAGTACATAAATTCTAAATAGTCCATCAATTCTTTAACATACAATGATTACTGATTATCTCAGTGTCAATGGAATTCCGAATTTGTAAGAATAAACGAGCATCATCTCGTAGCCATGTCTTGCTAGTATTATCCGTAGGCAGATCTTCAGTCAGATGATTGTCCATAGAGATGCTACGCAAATAAATACGAACTGTCTTACACCAATCTAAATAGTTTGGACCAATCAACTTATGTTCTGTGATTTTGGACATTACTGGAATGACATCAGTCACAACCAAATTCTTTTGCTCGTCAGCCATAGAAATAAGCCACAGTATCCAAACCAACAGGAAATTAATTCCCGACACAAATGCCCAACAAGCCCAATAACCAAGTTTATCCTTTACAGCCCAAAAACAATTAGGCCCAATGCACCAAGGCCCAAAGTAACTTACACCCAAAACACTCAGGCCCAAGTCAATTCCAGCCCAAATCAATGGATCACTGCAACTAGAGACCAAAATTACCTCCAAATTCACGTCGCCCTCACCACAGAAATTCAGGCACGGGAAAATCACAGAGGTGCCGAACACAAAGGAGCTCTGACTGAGACCCAAAGTAGACACGCCGGAAATGAAGAGGAACTTCAATTATCACACGACGCGACAATGACCACCTACACCGCCGAATGAACAACCGGTAACCACACTCGTAATCGCACACTCTGGCGACGTTAGAGACAATCTCAATTGGCCACCATATTTTCGACGAGAACAGAAAAGGAGGAAGGAAGGCTTCGGATTGAAAGAGAATATGGTGGAGAAAAGAAAAAAATAGCGGACGAAAAAAAGAAGCAAAGGTAAGTGCAAACACTAGAAACTATCGCTCCGATACCATGTTACAAAGAGAGAATTATTCCGTGTA